TACATATAACTAGATTGTGACCGGTACCATCAGTATTGGAACTATGCGCTGCCTGCTGAAAATAAGGACGAAGCATGCATGGGAATTCTTCGAGTGCTGTTATGTCGATTTCTGACTTAACTCAACTCAACAATATATGGAATTTAAAACAGCATGTAGGTATGTTATATCAGTACATCAGTCTGACAAAAGAGCTCGTTCCAAAAACACTCACCGAAACATGACTTACTGGGACATCATGAAACGAATAACGATGACGATAAGAAAGTATCAGAGTTTTCTTTAAAATCTTTTAATAAAGGGTCCTAGTTGTGATGAACTGTTTATAATTGTGCTAGCGGGAAGAAAGAAAAGCAACAACAAAAAACGCAAGTAGGAGGCTGAAGAAAATTGTGATTATGACAAAAAGTAATAGTTCCCCGCTGAACAGCAATAACAGGAAAGTAAAGAAAAGACAAGGTTCTTTTCTGTACAGGGACAATGATATCAAAAGTTCTTGGCCCAGACACAGGATATATATATATATATAGTCAGTTACCTAACAACAACCTAACTAAATGATTACATTCACCTAGGCAAACCACGATGTATGAACGAGTTTTATCTTGAGTCTATCAACTGGAACTATAATTATCACATTGAACATCTGTTTATTTCACCTAACATAATATCAACGTGATTCAGAAATAACAACACATTAACGATCAACATCTTGTCTACACAGGGTCATGCATTAAGCACTAACTAACATAAATAAAAGTTCGCTTTTAGCAACATAGAATGAAATATCTCCGAGCGATGATACACACTGATATACCTCTAGACAGTTTATCTACAAGAAACAAATTCAGTACTAAATATAGAAAAACGTACCACCATCATTATCAATAAGCCAAACTAACTGTTCATCCCCACGCAGTCGCTCGAACACATGCTGCTGAGCACATGTATCGTGCATCAGCGCTGGCTGAGGGAGGTCTCCTCCCCCTTGAGTGCCTGCAGGTTCAGTCCGAAAAGAAAAAAAATGAGGCCGTCTTTTTCTGTCGGGTCCTTTTTTTATGCTCAGTGGCCAGACTTTTGGCTCACTTTGGGCCTAATTAAAATAATCCCAATCAGTTCTCTGACGTCCTGCCACATATTTATAACAGTATGTAAGAACTTACATATCGAATATATACATCAAAGGTCAAGATCTTCAAAATATTAAATATTAAAAAATTTTTAAGTATGATGAAACAAACAATATTATTTAAAACTCACAATGTGTATAAATATAAGCGAAATTATAAAAACCAATTTTAGCTTAAAAGTCAAGGATAATGCACATATACTTTAGAATTGTCGTAACATAAATTAATAGTTATATATGTAAAATTTCGTATTTCTCTGTTCAGAACCACTGTACAAAATTTAAAAAACCGGCCACACTGCTTTGTTTAAAACAATAATACAGCTAGCCGATACAATATCAATTAAAATGAACACTCCTGTTTTACATAAACAAAAAGATCACGTGATAAATTAGAATTTACCATGGTAATCACGTAGCTGATCTTGAAATTCCAGTGAGGAAATGTATAGCGAATATACTGAGGAGCGGCTGGTCGAACGGTTAGAAAGCTAGGCTCGCAAGCAGAAGATCCGTGTTCAAATCCTCGGTAAGGCTGGGGATTTGTTCTGTAAAGGGGCAAAATAACATCCCCGCCTGCAGTCGAGGCGACAGCACTAGTCATGCAGCCATATATCCTCAGGCTCAAGGACCCCCCCCCCCCCCCCACCCCCCTCGTCCCAACCACCTCCGTCTACACCGCACTAGTGGTATGATAAAGGCAGTAACTAGTAGTGAATAAACGTGATTATACGTTGATTTAGAATACCTAGGACAGCCAAAAAAGAGCAATCAAGAGGTTTTGAAAGAGGCGAGAGCCCGAAGACAACTTATCACAGACATCAAAAGGAGACAGTCATCATTTTTCAGCCATGTTATGAGAAGAGGGAAAATAGAACATGTTGCGATCACTGGAAAGATCTGTGGAAGGAGGGATGGAGAAAGACAACGAGAGAAGATTCTTGACAGTCTTGTTGCATGGCATGGAGGTGTTTCGGCACACGAACTGATACATGCTGCAGGAGATGGCAGATTGTGGAGAGGCATGATCGCCTACGCAAGTTGGCAAGGCACCTGATGATGATGATGATGATGAAGGTGATTTAATTTTGTAGTAATGCACCTGAGGAGATGCCGCGAATTTTGGCAGGCAATAAATTGTGCAATACACTGTATTGTTTATGTCCGCATTATTTTGATTTACTAACTTTGAAGCGTCACCTCCAGCAACCAACACTGAATAGACTAGGCGGATTATTATCATGTGCCGTCCCCATGTGGGATGCAATTTTTCGTTATTTGAAGCCCAACCCTGGCTTTTGCCTAGGGCTCTGAATATAAAAAAATGAAAAAGTAAAGTACCCTTTTCCACGCCTTTAGGCGTATAGGGTATATAGGGCTGGACCTATATTTTTTAGACCAACGGCACAAGATGGGTGATGTGGTCAGCATCACGCCGGCCGCCTCTACTTCCCGGGACTGCACCCGGTTCCCACTCAAGGCTGGGTCGACCTGGGAGCCAAGGTCATTTTTTAAGAAAAGTCCGGCTCCGCCAGGGAGCGAACCCACGACCTTCCGATCCGCGGCGCGCGTCTAGCCGCTCTGCCACGGCGACTCCCTGCTCTGAATATAACCGGGCCATAAATATGGCCTAACGGTTGAAAGGAGTTTCTGGCACCCCTCTACGGGTGATTCTCGTCCGCATGGTGTCAAAGGGTGTTTATTGCTCTGTGTGATGTCTTAGAGGAAGGAGTACAAAGTACACACATGGACGGATCATTCAAACTTTGATGCAAAATCGCAGTTCACGTTGCCTACTACGGTTTCTGAAGGAATGTCTTCTTCAAATCAACAAGAACCGATAAAATATGCTCAACAATCAAAAAGTTTAACAAACAATAATTAATTAAAGTAAGTAAGTAAATTTTACCCCACTAGGACATTACACTGAGCGATAAACACCCGGTGACACAAAGTGAGTAGCAGCCATGGAAAGGTCCCTAATTTTAACAATTAAAAGTAAGCTCTCATATGTATTAAAAAAAAAAGGAGATCACGTGATAAATGTGCAGTTAACAAGTTGATCAAATGGCTGATCTTGAATTTCTGGTGGAGAGATAACTGCCTAACTTGACAAAATGATTTTTGTTGTTGTTGTTGCAATTTTAGAATTGTAATTCAATTTTAAATCTTTAAAAAAAAATTGAAAAAAAAGGGGGGGGGGGGGGGTGGAGGGTGGTAATTCAAAGAGAAGGTGCCACTCTTATGCTTTCTTATATGTTGATTTAACGCTGTAACGCTTATTTAATGTCAGAAAGAGGGGGATAAAATGTTATATAGAACCTGTTCTGCTGTACGATAGCGAATCTTGAAATGTCAGTGAAGAAATTAGAAATAACTTGGAAGCAAGAAATATGTGGTTTTTGAGACTAATGTCACGAATACCTTTGACGGTCAGAGTAACTAACAACGATTACTTGAAAGAAGCTCATGAAAGTAGATCTATAAATACAATAATAAAAAAGAGACAACACTGTTCTTTGGCCATATAATGATAAGAGTGACATTGAAGAACAAATGGAAAGATCAGTGAGAAAAGGGGTAGATTAAGACCAAGAGAGATTATGCTGGATGGGCTGAAATAATGGCATAAAGGGATATCATCAGGAGAGCTGTTCCAGACAACCAGGGATTATGACCTGTGGAGACGCATGAGCGCCTACGTCAGTTGGCAGGGCACATGAAGATGATGATCATTAACGCTTTAATAATGCACCTAACAATATCAAGCAAAATGTGCCAGGCTACAGTTGTGCAATGTGTAGTTTCTGACCGTAATATTCAAATATATCATTGTCAAATCCACCATATAGCTTTTCTGCAAACCAACATATAGCTTTGTTTAGAACACACGCTAAAAAAATGTTCTTTGGTTCTTTACTGACCACGGATATCTCTTTGACCTAGCGGAAAGATTAAGAATGAACAAATCTGTGTCGTCTTGTCAGCATTTACTTGCTATAAACTATGTCAGAAAGTTCTTGGTGTACGCCCACTTCTGGACTTTAATCTTGTTAGAGAACTTGAGTTTGGCCTGCAAATCCGTTTTACAGATCTAGCTGATAAGTATTGAAACAGATGATTCCTTTCTTCTCATGCAGATGCGCTCCGACTTCAATGAACACAAACCTAATTAGTCGCAACCTACAACATGCTTGTTCTGAGACCGTGTGGGTATTTCCCCTCAAAACTGGGCCCTAGAGCCCACACGGAGAATGAACATCTGATATGTAAAATATGATCAGAGAGAGCATCATCCAAATATTGGCCTCCAGTGTCTGAGTTACTGATATAGTCTCTCAATCTAGACAAGTTCAAAGGCAGGACCCAGAGTGTGTGTCGGTCAACCCCACCAGGGCGTACAACGAGCGACCATCACCCGGTAATACAAAGTGCCACCATTCAGATGAGGATCACCCTGGTACGTCCCTGAAAACCCGCTCAATCGTCAGGTTATATTAGGGCCCCCGACAACAGCATTATAAAAAAAATCAAAAAATTGCGTACCATATCATTGGGACATAAATCTTAGGAACCAGACGAATAGAGTCCTAATTAAACATGTTGTCTTAGAGGCAGACTTAGAGACAGTAGCTTAGGAAAGCAAACGAGGTAAATGAATGCTGAAATCGGACATACTTAGTCAAAGACCTAGTGGGAAAAGTGTTACATAACTCACTTTATCATAAAACATGGAAGAGGGCCTTATTTAAATATGTGCCGCTGCCCAGGGGGTCACATTTTGGAGCGGCCTAAAAACAATGTAGGTATGCGTACAAAATACAGGTCTGCACATCAGTTAGATTACACAACTACAAACATCATTGATAAACTATGTTAGGATAGGGGAGGACTGTACACCCTTCTTTGTGTCGTCAGCAAAATTCCCATAATCTTCAGACCCTAGGTCTGTGGTAGGAGAACGTGTCGTTGCATTCACTGGATCTTCAACAAGATATTCGTAATCCTTTTGTGATGGTCTGAGAAGTCTAAACACTCTGTGGATAAAAAAGGACCTTGTTAGTTGAAGTGAAAAAAAAATCATGTAGTAATAAATAAAGTTTCTCTCTCTCTCTCTCTCTCTCTCTCTCTCTCTCTCTCTCTCTGTGTGTGTGTGTGTGTGTATGTGTGTGTGAGCGCGCGCGCGCGAGCGTGGGTGCTATTATTTGTACTAATAGGATAAGGGGTATTTTTTTTTAAACATCAGTAATAGCAATGTAAACCCAAAATTGGATCGAATAAAAAAGACATTGTTCTAGATGATTATAAATATATAAAGAAACTCAAAAAAAAAAATGGAATTATTTCCACAGAAAAAAAAAACAAATCACTGTCTTCTCAAGAATGCATCGTTCTTCTCAAAATCGGAAATTTACGACACTTTCATAATTTACTATTTACAGGTTCACTCAGTGGCGAGTGAATCCATCTGAGTATATGTACTGCAACTCTATTTTAAAGCTGTCTCTAATTTCAATAAAGTAAGTTAACTAAAACTTACGTGTATACTGATGAACACAATGGGCTTTTGTGAATAGAGAAGGATTGGTTCTTTAAATAACAAGCAGGGTTGAGACAGAATTTGTCTTGTATCTCACCTCTGAAACAGCGCCAAAGAACGTTTCTCTCTCTCTCTTGTTGTACCCCACCAGGACATCACACAAACGATAAACACCCGGTGACACAACGTGCCACCATTCGGATGAGGATCATCCGTGGAGAGATCCCAGCAAACCCTTTTAGCCGTTAGGCTATATTTATGGCCCGGCTATATTCAGAGTACCCAGCAAAAGCCAGAGTGGGGCTTCGAAAAACGAAAAATTGCATCCCACATGGAAACGACTGTTCAAGTATAGAGAGCCTAAGTTCTCAGATTCCAGCGCCCCTAGTCTACACGGTTTTGGGGGGCCTAATCTCCACTTTCCTTCTCCAAACTCAGAAGCCGCCTGTGGAATGTGCAAGACTGACTGTTATTTCATGTCTGAAGAGATATGCTGTATGATGATGGAACTGGTTCCTAACTCAGACCATCTCATACACTCTGGTTGAAAGCCTAGCATTGAATACCACAACATTCAGCTTAAGAATGGAGGTGGAAGCGGTCACTGCAGCTTTCCGCTGGTTAGAGAACACGACACACATACCCTCGTGATTGTAACTGACTCAGAAAGCATGCCGAGGAAAGTGAGGACAGGCATGCTTCATGCAGAGTGACATGCTTTGCTTCGTAGGTCACGTGTGAGGTGAATTGTCTGGATCTTCTCTCCGGGTATGGTTTGTTTAGATATGAACAGGCGGACATAATGACTGGCTCTGCAAATTTTGGTGGATGCATGATAAGGCAGACGTGGTTAGTTACATTGGTATTGGAACTTTGTGCTGGCTGATGACGATGGGGACGGAGAGCATACGGGAATGCTATTCTGTATGTCGGTTCTTGAATCAATTCAACTCAACTCAGCTCTGCTGAAATTTGGCGTATGTGGATATCTTCCCTGCCTTTGAAATACTGAGGGTCTAGTCATAGTTTGGTCCTCACTGAGCTACCTCAGGTGACTTTTTTTTCACTTAGTGTCCAGAATTGACAGACATTGGTTAAATGATTCAGTTTTACACGATTGTGTGTGCATATTTTAAACTCTAGCTACATTATGCTGTCTTTAATTATGGCAAGGCACATGGTCACCATCATCATCATCATCATAATCATCATCATCATGTAGCATGTCTTTTTCAAAACGTCGCTCATCACGGTGTGCCTGAAAGAAACTCGGTCTCTAACAAGCTCTCCTGCCTCGTGAAGATAGCCAATGTATTAGTTATAAATGTGCCCATCTTCGCACTGGTCGGTCCCTGCCCTTCTTTCCTTGTACCATGCCTTCTGCTAGTATATTTTTTTTTCAACCCGCCGTGGCGCTTGATAGGATAAAGATATTTTGCTTTCCGAGAGAATATGCTGTTTACTATCAAATCTTCTTCGGTGTTCAGATCTTTTAGGATGCCAGTATTTCTTTCTTCTTTGGCCATGGTAATCGGAACATTGTTGTATTATACTTCAGCTCAAAAGGCCTTATTTTTTTATTTTTTTTACGGACTGCCAGGTAGTCCAGGACTCACATCCGTATATTGCCACAGGAAAGATGTATGATCTCTGTGATTTCAGTCAGCTAAAATCTTACTCTTACTCATGAGCTGCTGCAGCCCAGCGGCTAGACGCTCAATAGATACATTGGTGTCCGCCTCGAGTGTTAGAGGTGCCGGGTTCAATCCCGGTAAGGGCTAGGCTTTTTTCACGTGGACTTGGACTTGTAGTAATTCCCACTGGTCATTGGGTAGTAAGATCGGAAGCCCGTGTGTATTGTTGCGCACATAAAAAATCCGTTGGCAGTTGAAAATCGAAAAGAGTAGCCAAAGGGCACTGCAGGGACAAAATTTAGAGTTAAAAAATCTACCCAAAGTATTTCAGGATCCTCACGGTGTTACAGAGCCTGTGCATTGTGCTGAGCTTCTTTGGACTCAGACTTGAGTTAGAAGAAAGAACGGAGCACTTATGGGTTACATCCGTGTGCTATGATATTGAACCGTTTTTCAAAACCTTAAACGGTCCTCCATTCAAAAGCTTTTATTCGAATTTGCGGAATTTTACAATCGACCGTAAGCAATCTCAGATCCATCTCAAAATAGGTACCAGGAAATGCTTCGGAAGGTAAAGACAGCGGGCGTCATGTGGAACACACAACGTGCCTATTAGTGTAAGAGTATGTCCGATGCGCTAATGGAAATGATTTCTGAACTGAAGTCTCACCCGAGCGATATAGTGTTGAGCAGACACATTGCTGCAACAGCCATGAAAGCAGCACCTTTAAATGTGTCTACAGTAGCATTGTAGATGAGTAAATACAGCGTAGAAGATGCCAGACTGGCAATTGCCTCTGTACACGACATACTTGAGAAGAGAGCACCTGTAACAAAAATGTATCGTAATGAAAATCAAGATAATAATTTAAAAAAAAATAATAGTCGCACTAATAAAAACACTAGAACTGTATTTAATAACATAACCACATGAATACAACTAATCTGGATCACCAAGGGCGATGATGATGACAACGATTATTATAATGCTGCTGCTGATAACGACGATGATAATGTTGATGACGACGATGATGATGATGATGATGCTACTGATGATGATGATGACGATGCTGATGATAATGATGCTGATGATGCTGATGATGATGATGATAATGATGATGATAATGATGATGATAACGACTATTATAATGCTGCTGCTGATGACGAAGTCGATGATCGTGTTGATGACGACGACGATGATGCTGATGATGATGTTGATGATGATGATTGTGGAGGTGATAATACTGGATTCTTTTCATGATTCACAAAAATGTGCTATGAAAACCAGCAAACGTTCTGTCGCTAGAGCCGGCAAATTTGCTTTCTGCTGTATACTAGACCACAAACGCACACAAACAGTACTCACTCTCAGGTATCCTGTTTGGTGGACTAAAATATTACCTTGTACACCTGGAGGTGCAATCTGGGACAGCAGCGCCCGAGGTAGAGGAAATGTGGCAGTGAATAGAATTCCCACCGCTGATGCTTAAAAAAAAAAAACAATATTAGGAAAAAACGAAAATGTGCATGTGATCGCTGAGTATGGAATTTACCTTGTAAAATAAGAAATTGGAGTCGCCGTGGCAGAGCGGCTAGACGCGCGCCGCGGATCGGAAGGTCGTGGATTCGCTCCCTGGTGGAGCCGGACTTTTCTTTAAAAATGAGCTTGGCTCCCAGGTCGACCCAACCTTGAGTGGGTACCGGGTGCAGTTCCGGGAAGTAGAGCTGGCCGGCGTGATCTTCCATGCCATGAGGTCAAACCATCCAGCGTCTATTCTCACGGTCTCCCTCTGCCTCTCCTCCCCTTCAGCTTTCCTACAGTCACAATGTACTGTAGTTGTATCCTTCTCATCACATGACCAAAGAATGTAGATTCTCTCTTTCTGATGTAGGCAATCTTTGTGAGTCAATATATTATATTTTTTTTCAAGACTGTTTACTGTTTTTCAAATGTTTATTGGTGAATTAACAATCGACATCACATCACTCGGGACATTCCCATAAGCGCTGTGTCCCCATCTTTAGCAGCAAGCGCAGAGTTCCAATTCCACAGGTAGCAATAGTAGTCTGATTGTATATCCATCTTACCTTTCCTTTGAGTGTGATGGTTGACCCGATCCCCTGGTCACTCCTCGCAGCGCCATTCTCTTCAGACCATGATGATCCATCTGTCGTTCCGCGCTGTTTACTCACCCCCAAAGAGCCATTTCAACATCTAGTTTGTCATGCATCGGTTCACCACCAAGTTGTGCAGAACCAGCCAGTTTATCTGTATATTCATTTTCTAATACATGGGCATGCTTTCTGGAAATATCCAAAGTACGCTCACAATATTTGTTGTTGTTGTTGTTGTTGTTGTTGTTGTGTTAATCAGCGGGACAGTGTAACAGATAAATAAGCGTTATGTTGTGAAAGTAATAGTCAATTTTAAAAAAACAATGTATGCAGAAAAAGGAAAACTGATGTAAATTTAAAAAAATTATACAAAACTTTTTATACTTGAAGCTTGTATTACATATCTTGCATACAATAATACAACGCACACAAATATATGTAATAATTTATAACCGTTCATATTGGACATAATATATTCACAATGACGTGTTTTATACAACTAATATTGTATGTATACTTTATCATATAATTTGATGGGAACATGAGGTTAGCTAATTATCTTTCCAAATAAACAAATGAACGCAGAGATGTAATACAAATGTAATAAAGTAAATCAAATCATCGGACAGATGTCACTACCATCACAGAACAAACATGTAATAATTGACTTCGAAAAAGCTTTATTTATATTGTGTGGGTTTTTTTAATCAGCATTGTGTTGCTAGTGTCATGTGTAGACATTCGGTTGCTAGTGTCATGTGTAGACATTGTGTTGCTAGTGTCATGTGTAGACATTGTGTTGCTAGTGTCATGTGTAGACATTGTGTTGCTAGTGTCATGTGTAGACATTGTGTTGCTAGTGTCATGTGTAGACATTGTGTTGCTAGTGTCATGTGTAGACATTGTGTTGCTAGTGTCATGTGTAGACATTGTGTTGCTAGTGTCATGTGTAGACATTGTGTTGCCATGTGTAGACAATGTCAAACAAGTGTCATGAGACATTGTGTTGCTAGTGTCATGTGTAGACATTGTGTTGCTAGTGTCATGTGTAGACATTGTGTTGCTAGTGTCATGTGTAGACATTGTGTTGCTAGTGTCATGTGTAGACATTGTGTTGCTAGTGTCATGTGTAGACATTGTGTTGCTAATGTGACATTGTGTTGCGAATGTGTTAAAGCATGTTAGATTGTGTTGCTAGTGTCATGTGTAGGTGATGCTAGTGTCATGTTTGTTGCTAGTGTCACCAGCATGTGTGACATTGTGTTGCTAGTGTCATGTGTAGACATTGTGTTGCTAGTGTCATGTGTAGACATTGTGTTGCTAAAGACATTGTGTTGCTAGTGTCATGTGTAAAAGAGTGTCATGTGTAGACGAGTGTCATGCAAATGTGTAGACATTAGATGTGTAGACATTGTGAGCGAACGAAAAAAAAAATCGAAACAAAATTAATTAGATGTCGAACACCTAAATGTAACAAAAAGAGACAAGATCTGGAAAGACGATATTAGGAAACAAGCTGGGGAGAAACCAGTGCTAAACTACATCAAGAGACAACAGATCGAATGGTTCGGACATGTGTCAAGATGACCACAGAATAGTGCAGTACAGAGAGCCCTTAGCAGTCCCAGAGGTCGCCCACGCAAGCGATGGATAGACGGAATATCGGAGACCGTAAATACTAGCGTCTAGGTAGCGCGCTCTTCATCATATCAGCGACCAGGTTGCAAATGGGCTGGTCAGTAGACGACTTCGTCGTCGGTCTAGACAGTATTTGGGTCTGTCTCTCCTGATAGCATCAACACTGTAAAAGTCTGTTCAGCGCCTATTTGATGGCGAGCAATGCTAAGCCATTTTTATGGCGCACACAAACCTAGTCACAATTATAACCAAAAGCTCCTCCCTCCCTTCCTTGGGTGGATGCTGCAAAGCAATTCAGGTGCTCATTACCTGAAGCTGGTAGGTAGATCAGGGTGTAGAGACAAGACGTTCATGCTTCTCTTATTCAAGACCTTCTCCTGTGTTTCCCATTTGCTTAAACGCCTCAAGAGCATCACATCTTATGATACCAGTAATCACATCTTTGTGAGTCAATTTCTTCGCCTATCTGATCTTCCCTTATTTTCTCACGGTTCTTCTATACAAATCACATGTCAGCAGATTCTACATATTTTATTTCTATAATTGACCTGATTGTCCATGATGGTTACTATGCTGCACGACTGGCTCTGTATAGCTCTTGAGAACTTTATTTATCACCTCACCCAAAAACAAAAAAACACGAATCTTATTGTTCTATTCTGTGTATGTTTGGGTATTCGTGGTATAGTTTTTAAATTAAACAAAAATGACTTTTTTTTTTTTTTTTTTACTTCACGTGGTTACTAAGGTAAAATCAGCTTTAGAGTATAATTTTAAAATAAGAAAATAAAAAAGCTCTTTCTTGTCAATTAGTGCCCAGAGTCATGCAAATAAAGTCCTTTAGAAAAGTCGAGGTTATTTCCTCTCGGTTGGTTTTGACAAAGTTGCGGAATCCATCAGTGTGCGTGAAGCCATTTGTGTATATGTTCTGCCACTCTGTTTTCAGGTTTGATCTCCATTCGACTAATGTAAGTCGACTGGTACGTGGATTTTGTGTACGGAGACACTAGTTTTTTAGCATGTGTTGTAAAGTTGGAAGTGTTCTTGTATCTCACCATAGACACAAACAACATTTGTTCAACAGCTTTTTTCGTCGACTCTCCAGACTCTGCATGCTGTCATCCCCTCGACAAGTTTATAATGTTTTCCCCGTTGTATATTTGAACAAAGAAAACACAAATAACAGATTGCACTTTTTTTTTTTTTTTTTCCTGACAAATTTCGCTGTATCTCGTGCCTACTTTAGTAAAATTTGCAGTCACCATGATTCAGATACTGCAGCTGTCCTGGCAAAACAAGCAGTTACGTTTGTTGTTGAATTTGTACTTCAGTTATACAAGATTCACTCATTTTCTTCCTTTATGTAATTGTTACTGTAGTATGCACCTGACGAAATACAGCGAAATATGTCATACCATAAAAAATTGTGCAGTCTATTTTGTTTGTGTCCGCTTCGTTCAAACTGGATAAATGCTTGTAGTTTGGGCACTGTAAATTCATTTGGGGGCTGGGTTGGGTGGGGGCAAAAGGCAAATTATATACGAGCTAAAACACTGCTATATAAATACGTGACACATAAGGAAGTCGTGTTGATAAATATTTACTTACCCAAGTACATCATCAAAGTAGAGTCTGCGAATCCCTCCAGTATAAATCCAGCAGTGCTGCTAATGCCACAGATAACAGCGGTCATCTCCAGGGAGAGACGGTTTTTACACAACTTTAGTGTAATCACAGCAGCAACTGCCGTGATCACCTGATGGAGATCAAAGGAAATACAAACATGTTTGTGAACTTCTCTTTCTTCTTTCGTTCGCTTGAAATAGATCATCTATTTTGGCAATTGTGTCTCTAGTATGAACTTACTGTCTGTTGTAATGCAATCAGCGACCCTAAAGTTTGGCTCGCACCGGTGTTAGTTAGTTAGTTAGTTAGTTAGTTAGTTAGTTAGTTAGTTAGTTAGTTAGTTAGTTAGTTAGTTAGTTTGTTTGTTTGTTAGTTAGTTAGTTGGTTTATTGGTTGGTTGGTTGGTTGGTAGGTTGGTTGGTTGGTTAGTTAGTTGGTTAGGTAGTTAGTTGGTTAGTTAGTTAGTTAGTTAGTTAGTTAGTTAGTTAGTTGGTTTAGTTGGTTAGTTGGTAGTTGGGGGTAGGTTAGTTAGTTAGTTAGTTAGTTAGTAGTTAGTTAGTTAGTTAGTTAGTTAGTTAGTTAGTTAGTTAGTTAGTTAGTTAGTTAGTTAGTTAGTTAGTTAGTTAGTTAGTTAGTTAGTTAGTAGTAGTTAGTTAGTTAGTTTAGTTAGTTAGTTAGTTAGTTAGTTAGTTAGTTAGTTTGTTTTAGTTAGTTAGTTTGTTTGTTAGTTAGTTGGTTTATTGGTTGGTTGGTTGGTTGGTTGGTAGGTTGGTTGGTTGGTTAGTTAGTTGGTTAGGTAGTTAGTTGGTTAGTTAGTTAGTTAGTTAGTTAGTTAGTTAGTTAGTTAGTTAGTTAGTTAGTTAGTTAGTTAGTTAGTTAGTTAGTTAGTTAGTTAGTTAGTTAGTTAGTTAGTTAGTTAGTTAGTTAGTTAGTTAGTTAGTTAGCTAGTTGGCAGATTATCCTCATTCTACATCAAATCACTCAGCAGCGTGTAACCTGAAGACACTAGTTCTGTGTTGATTCATTATTATTTTTTGGCTACCCGCGTAGTGTTATTGTTTGGTGACATCCCGTTTAACTAGCTGTTCTTACAGTCTCTTCTTGCACTGATGTTTTTAAACTGAATAATCATCTATACTTCAAGGGGCTTAGGTACCTCGAGATCTTCCTCGTTTCCTCCCGCCCATCCCCACCAAAAATTCTAAAGGATGGGGGTGTATGTGTTAAGCCGGGATCGTCGGTAACTACCGACAGTCTTCTGGTTGGGCCTGCTTCTTTCCGTGGCCAATTTGTAAAAAGGGGGGGGGGGGGGGGGGATAAGCGGACATCTAACCATGTATAGAAGATATTTTTCTCAGCATTTGCTTACACATTTAATGTTTTTCAGCTATATTATTATATTTGTTTGCCCCATGGTACTTTAATATATTATTATTGCGCATCTGAACCGGCAGTGCCCCTATATTTCAATATTTGTAAGTTTGCTAAGCTCTCGGTTTTTTTGGGGGGGTAGGGGAGGGGGGGGGGTAACGCTCCTGGTACGCGCGCACGTATGTGTATTATTAATAAACTCATTCTGTCTGTCTGTCTGTCTGTCTGTCTGTCTGTCTGTCTGTCTGTCTGTCTGTCTGTCTGTCTGTCTGTCTGTCTGTCTGTCTGTCTGTCTGTCTGTATATATATATATATGTGTGTGTGTGTGTTTGTCTTCTTCTTCCTCCTTCTCCTCCTCCTCCTCCTCTTCTTCTTCTTCTTCTTCTTTTTCTTCTTCTTCTTCTTCTTCTCTTCTTCTTCTTCTTCTTCTTCTACTTCATCACTGCATATTTTACCACTTCAGTGTTGAGGAAGAAATAAAGCTCTGCTTGTTGCTCTTCTGACCGCCTCGATCGTAGACACATCGTGCTGTTGAAGATGTTATCTTTCTATCTTTTTCAGTGTCTACGTTTTGCTCTACACCCTTCTTTTGGTGTATGCCTTGTATGGTATGACGTCACATGGTAAACCGCTTGATTTGTTGTTTTTGCATGTAATTCACACTTGTTACTTTGCCGACTTGTTTTCTTATGTCCTCATTTCTGACTGTATCTCTTCTGGTAACTTCTGCAGCCACTCTGAGATGCTAATATACCTTACACCAGTTAAATCTCTCTTTAGATGTGTGTATTTAATACCATTACCATGTTGCGTTTTGTCTACATCCTGTAGACTCGCATTCCGTTCTTTCTTTGTTAGTTGTATTTCAGTGTAGTGTCTAAGTTCATCCCGGTCATTGGTGCCTCTTTCCTTAGTCTTCCTCACAATATTTCGTTGTTTGTTTGTTTTTTTTTTTTTTTTTTTTCATTGGTCATTTTGTTTCTCTTTGACAATCTCACTAACTTCCCATTTCAGTGTCATTTTGTGATTCTTTGTGAGCTATAAATGTTAAATTAACAATAGACATCACAGTACTAGAAACACTCCCTAAGCGCTCCGATAAGTGCTCAGTCACCATCTTCAGCAGCAAGCGAATAGTTCCAATGACGATGGTACCAGTAACTGACTGTATTTACGTTTTGTCTTTCCCCTGAGCTTTCAGCATCAGCCAGATCCCCTGGTAACTCCCCGCAGAGCAGTTCTCCTCAGACAGTAAGGATCTGTTTGTGCCTCCAAGCTGTTCAATCGCTCCAAAAGGGCCCTCACAACATCTAGATTGTTATGCATCAATTCATCATCAAGTGGTGCAGAACCAGCTAATCTATCTGTCCTGCTCGTTCCCCAACACACCAGCATGCTGGAGAAATTATTCAAAGGACGCTTACTATCCAGGACCTCTCTTTATCATCTTCGTTCATGAAGTGTATTAACATGGCATGTATATTTTTATACAGCATTGCAACTTACCATCCTGACTGCACCAAAAACTCCAATAGCCGCAGAACTCCAGCATATAGGTTTATTGAGTACAAATAAGGTCTCTATGTAGGACTTGCCTATATTCGCGAACATTACTGTGAAGTGTGCAGTCAGACCCATAATGAACTGAAGTCTCAGGGATTTTCCGTTAATGCTCGAAAAGTAGAACCCAAATGTCTGCAACGATTTAAAAAAAAAAAAAAAGTATATTATACATGTAACAGAATACGTCATATTTCACTGAAACACATCCCTGTGTGCGTTATATGGCTCCATTTGGGGGGAAAGGGGTGGGGGATAGACAAACTGCCGCTTTGAGAATCATGTCGTAAAAGTCAAATAATTAGGGGTGCATCCTTCGAAGTTGGAGTGCTTTTGTCTAAGTGGCAAGGAACAACTAACTGCACATACATGATTGTTGAATGTTGAAGTAAGAATCGATATTACAGTACTCGGGACACCACATGAAGAGTTTTAATTCTGGTGGTACCAGTGACTGTCTGATTGTACATCCGTCTCGCCTTTCCCCCTGAGTGTTGAACCAGTCGACCAGATCCAATCATAACTCCCCATTCTCCTCAGACTGTAATGATCTGTTTGTGCCTCCGCACAGTTCACTAGCTCCCAAAGGACCCTCACAGCATTTAGCTTGTCATAATCATTTCACCACCAAGTGGTGCCGAACGGAACAGTCTATCTGTATGTTAATTTCCCAACACACCGGCATCAACCTGGAGAAAATCTCTGAACGACGCTAACTACGCGGGACCTCTGAAGTGATGCTTGGCACTCAGCACGGAGCGTGCATGTCTCCACCTCTCTTAAAATGCTCTTTGAATTAAAATTACGGCCTGTGTGTACAGCTGATTCTAAAACCAGCGAAAAGCGGAAGTGAATGTTTCCATCTCCATTCTCAAACTAGACGTTTTGATATCATATGCTAGACTTTGTTGCACTATGCGATGTCCATTTGCCTTTGCTATGAACCCACATGCACTTCGTCTGCCCCTCAGTACAGAGCCATCTGTGTAGATAATCACATCACCCCGGCGCGAATTGTCATGAGTCATTTGTTTAACTTCTGATTCTGCAACACCAGCTAGCCAGTCCCTGCACTCACGTCCCAAAGTGATTAGAACACTACACAAGTCTGAAACTTGCTCGGACACTTTGATCCACTCCTCTCCGCGCCTAAAATTTTTCAAGCCTGCACACGTCTAATTGCGTCTTCAGCTTGCGCCATCCAAGACCTTCCTCTTTTCAGTCTGTGTCCCTTAGATCTATCCATGGTTTCATGCAGGGGGTGCTTCTTATCTGCAGCTACTCTGAGTTATGACTTTGCTTGCAAAACATTTACCCTATCTACAATAGTAAGCAGTTCCAACACATATAGCATACATACTATCGGGTATCATTTGTTCATCCTAAAATTACCCGCATGGCTTCATTCTGTATGGGTTCAAATTTCATCAGCTGACTGATATGCTAAGCATTCCAAGTTCATATTATATCACCGACAAGATCTCATGCTGGAATATTATGAACAGTCTTCGTTTGTTCCATGTCCATTGCTGCCATAATCTTGAGAGCAATGAGTTCTTTTTTTGGCACTTCATCGCAACTGCCTCCACGTGATCCCTAAAGGACAGGCTTTTAAACAAAATGATGCTTAAGTACCTCAGTTTTTTTTTTTTTTTGATGTTTCTATTATAAATTACGGGGCTTGGAACATTAGCTCTTACAATTCTATTGTCCAGAGAGCACCAAAAAACAGCCGCCTTTTCTGAGCTGATGACAGCACCCATTTCTGCACACCATTCTTTCACTGTGTCGACAGTTGCCTATAGCTCTTGGGCTATCCGTTGCATTTCATTTCTCTGCCTTTATGCAATAACATCGTTTGCAAATGGCAATATCCTTCCAACACCTGGTGCTTCAAGTTATGCAATCCTGCATGTATACACATTGGAGATAATCGGTGAAATTGCAGAAATCTGGGGTAATCCCATTGCGATATTACATGTGTTCTGAGGTCCATGTACCAGGAGAACAACAATACATGAATGCAGGAGAGCTGCTATCCAGTTCACAAACCCTTCTCTGTGAGTGCAGATATCAAAGTATCATATCTGACTCTATTGTAGGCATCCTCAAGATCAAGTGCTGTCACATCATCTCTATTCTGGAACCTATTAGAAAGATCAAAAGCAAATGTTGCTGCATTTGACCAGGTATCTTTCCATTGCCGCTAAATACCCAGATCTTTTGGTGCGAGCTCTTCCCTTTCCAAAAATATTTGTAGTTTAACAGCAGTAATCTTCTCTAGCACGTTGCCAAAAGTATTTTGTAGGGTGATAATCATGAAACCACTGAGTCTAGAATAGTTTTTGCATGGTTTTGGTAGTAACTATGTACCCAGTGTTTGACTACTGAATCTGGTCTGATACTGTGGTTGAATTGAAAAGCTATCTCCCTCAAGTGATCATCACTCATGATTTTCATGTGGGCATACCTAATTCCGTCTGGCCCTGGCGCGGTATCTTTTACTTTATGCAATACACATTTTGTATTCTCCACCGTAATGATATCCTGAAAATTTTTTTTATTCATTGGATTATACAAAATTATCTCTAACTGAATTTATATGCTCCTTATCATTGTGATCAGTTTGGGCTATAAATCTCTTCAAAAAAGCTTTACCTATCTCTTTGTTGTCATACCATTATCAGTGTAAATAAGGCCGGTTTTTTTTACATCTAGTTTCTTCCTTTTTAGGATGAAATTTTTTCTCATTTGAAGCCTCACCCTGGTTTTGCCAGGGGCCACAATATAGGCAGGCCATAAATATGGCCAATTGTCTGAACGCGGTTTCTGGAACTTCTCCACGGTGATCCTCATCCACATGGTGGCACTTTGTGTCATCGGGTGTTTATCGCTTGTGTGATGTCCTGGTGGGGTAGAAAGTCAAGTCAAGTCATGCCGATCCTTCCTTTGCATAAGGGATCCACCGTGATCTAGCGGCTAGATGCTAGTCTACGGATCGGAACGTCTTGGGTTCGGGTCCAGACAGGGGTCCGGTCTTTTTTTTTAAAATGACCTTAGCTCCTAGGTCGACCCAGCTTTGGGTGAGTACCAGGTACAGTCCTGGGAAATAAAGGTGACCGGTGTGATGCTGACCACATATCACGTAACAAGCGCCGTTTGGACTATACAATTTAGGTCCAGCCATATATAACCAATATGCCCGATTGCGTGGAAAGGGATCTTTACTTTAACTTAACTTCCTTTGCATCTGTCTGTGAAGTTTCCAAACCATACCCAGTGATTTATCCCCGCAATTTCGTTCATAAAAAGTTCTCATTTAGCCTTTTCTTTGTATCTGCTGTATATCGCTTAAACTCTTTTACTTTTTCTTTTTTAACTCTTTCTAGTTTCTTGACATTCTCTTGTAACCTGTGAGGTGCCTTTTGCACTTTCTGCAACTGTTTAAATGCAGCTAGCTTTGCTCTCTACTTCTTGGGTCTACCATGGAGGCTGCATAAAAGCAGTGTTGGTGGTTCTGTTGCATACTTTCTGCCGAAGGCTATTATGAAGGTTAGTGGCCCTTTCATAGTAAGAGCCCTGCACATTCTCACAGCCCGGATCTTGCTAGCTTTAGAAATCAAGACTAAGCATGGCATATGGTTACTCCCATGATCGCCTAGGATACTCCATCTTGTGTCCAGCACTGCTGACTGGGTAACAAACGGTAAATTAATAGTCGTGTCTGCATCATCAGGTCTCATTGTCATTCTAGCTGGCGCACCGTCGTTAATACAGACTACGTTTGCATCCGTCAAAGCCTCTGCTAAAGCAATTCCTTGTCTATTTTTCCCCAGTACTGTTACATTCTCTGTTCCGCGCATTGAAATCTGCTCATAAATAAGCCAGAAAAATGAATGTTCACGCAAAACTCACGAACTGGCACAAAACCAAAGTCCACATAGTCTTCAATCAAGACTTTCCACCCGAGTTTACAGCCAGTGAACAAAGAAAAAGACTGACTGGCTGACGTGTTTACCCCACAAGGACATCACATCAAGCGATAAACACCCGGTGACACAATGTGCCATCACCAGGGGAAGGTCCCAGAGACCCCCGTTTAACCCATAGGTTGAGCTGTAATTAGGCCCCTGCAACAGCCAGGGTGAGGCTTCAAACAAAAAATTACGTCCCACATGTGGACGGTCGTTGGAAAGATGTCTACAGAGAAGAAGATACTGAGCACATCACCGCCCATTACCATTTATATTTAAGTAAGTTGTACCCCACCAGGACATCACACAAGCTATAAACACCCGGTGACACAAAGTGCCACTGTGCAGATGAGGATCTCCGGTGGAGAGGTCCCGGAAACCCCGTTCAGCCGTTAGGTCATATTTAGGGCCCCCGTTAAAAGCCGATATGGGGCTTCAAAATAACAAAAAAGTGCATCCCACAAGAGAACGACTTACATGACGGTTTGCATTTTAAAACAGGGACTATTTACCAGATAAACTAAATGCACCAAGGTTGTACTTTACTCTCTTTTATCAATCAATCGTAATTATTAATGTGTTCAAACAGGCGCAGTGCGTTTATGTAAAGTTAGCAGCAAGATGAGGCATAGTGACAAGACGACCCAGTTAAAGATTTGCTTTACAAGTACCAACCTTTTTAAGATGCATTCTTACATCCCATGAAATCTTCTGCTTACATGGCAGCGTCTCTGGTAACAGAAATATCGTCACCAGAAGAGGAATCAACAACAAACAATTGCATATTACAACAGGAATGAAGAATCCGGCTGCTTGAATCAAGTAACCGACCGCCAACTGCAAACAAATAATACACAAATAATGCTGCATCAGCAAACAACAAGACATAACAGATCAGACATTCTTCTTCTTCTTTACGTCCTCTATTACCCCTTCGGGTGTCGCTGGAGATATAGGGTCCTGCTTCTTGCTCTTCTAGCTTCTTCGAGCATAGACACAAGGTGGTGCTGTAGAGTTTCTCTGATGTTATCTTCCCATGTTGTTCTTGGTCTACCTCTTGCTCTGCGTCACTCTCCTTTTTTCATACATTGCGGAGTCATTAATGTCTGCAGTTATCACTTGTAGGACGGTGTCTGCAGAACGATAATGATCCTGAGGGTTCAAGCCGTGTGACTGCTGCAGGCGGTATAAGCTGTGCTGGTTATGGGTGTGGATTTTTTTCTGCCCCTGACAGAAACAATTCTGGGCACTCCTTCGGGCAGCGACCCTGAAAAAGGGGGTTGGGGGAGGGGATCTATTTTTACTTGGCTTTACTTTAACTACCAAGTTTCAACTATCAAATCCAGCTGCGACTCGCTGCAGCCTATGGCCGGTGTTCGAAACCTGGCGGTTCCCGGGGTAAATGGAGGAACGTTGCTGTTCCTACGGAGTTTTGTGCAGACGACGACACAGTTTTTTATCAGCTGTCCGTACTGGTAGCAGAGCACCTATGGCTTATAACCATATGCAATGACGCTGGTTCATATCTCCCGACTTTACCTTTTTTTAACTTTAACTACCGACTGTCATTATCATCATCATGTGGCAGGTCCTTTGCAGAACGTCGCTCTCATCACGGTCTGCCTGAAAGAAACTTGGTCTCTCGCCAGCTCTCGAGGTTCATGTACTTTCATACTCAAGGATTCACATATCCTGTGCCAATCGTCGTGCAGGTCGGCCCCTGCCTATCCTTCCTGGTACCATTCCTTTTGCTATATTTTGTTTCCAATCCACCGTGGCGCCTATGTCCAAAATATGTCAGCTTCCGAGACAGGATGCTGTTTATTAGCCAATCTTCCTTAATGTTCAGATCTTTTAAGATGTCAGTATTTCTCATCTTCTTTGTCCAAGATATTCTAAAAATCTTTCTATAGCATTTCAGCTCAAAATCCCATATTTTCTTTCTTAAGGACTAGGGGAAAGTCCACGAATCACATCCGTATGTTGCTAAAGTAAAGATGCATGCTCTTAAAATTCTTATTTGGCTTGGCTTGGCTTTTTACCCCACCAGGACAACACACAAGCGATAAACACCCGATGACACAAAGTGCCACCATGCGGATGAGGATCACCGTGGAGAGGTCCCAGAAACCGCGTTCAGACATTTGGCCATAATGATGACCTGCCTATATTGCGGCCCCTGGCAAAAGCCAGAGTGGGGCTTCAAATAAAAAAAAATAACGTCCTAAGAAGGACGTAAGGAATAATTCTTATTTTGATCTCCTTGCTGGTACTCAACTGACGGCTTTTAGGGCTGTAGGGGAGGTAATTAATATTTTCTGTAAGTTCACATTAAAATAACATTCTTCCATACTTAATATTATTTGAGATGAGTATCAGGGTTATGGTTAGAGTTAACCTGAAGCAACATAAATATTGCAGAAAACTATTATGTGACCATACGCACACTATGGATTGTCTCCCTTATAGTCACTGAAAACAAAACAGTAGATTACGTCCCCTCAGGGTCGCAGTTCGAAGGAGCAGCCAATTCTGAAAACCTCACGAAGTATTTGAATTCGGATCTCCTGCAAGAAAGCAATGCCTGCTTATCATCCTGACAGCTGCTTCTTGATTTTTTTACGGCAATAACTCAATAAATGCCCTTTCTCACTTTAATTTTAGGTATGATTCGCCAGTTCCAGTTCCAGCTTGTTCGAAAAACAAAAACAAAAAAGTTCTAGTCTCCCTAACGAGCTACAAAAGTGAGCGGCGGTTATGTTGGGATTGCGTTTTCTTGCTTGGGATTTCCAATAGTTTTTCTTTTTTCCATTGCGACGTGAGTTCACGTCTTGAAATGGTTTCCTTGCGTGTTTCTGCGATGCTGGCCGTGATTGGGAGTGGAAGCCTACTAGTCCTGAAAAGGACTAGTAGACTTTGCCTTGGGCGGCCTGGATTAGGTATGATTCGCCAATTAGTCCCTATGTTTATTTTCTTTTGTCTTTGAGGGGCTGCGTGGTCTCGAGGCATGGTGTCCGCCCCAAGTGCTAGAGGCTCTGGTTTCAATCCCCAGTAAGGGCTGGTTTTTTTCACTTGGACTTGGACTTCTAGTAATCCCCTCTGGTCTCTAGGTAGTGAGATCAGAGGCCCGTGTGCATTGTAAAGACATTCAAGGCAGTCGGAAATCGAAGAGAGTAGCCTGACGGCACTAACCGTGCACATTTTGGAGTTAAAAATGTATCCAAAGTTTTTCAGGATTCTCGCCGGTGTTACAGAGCCTGTTCACCGTGCTGAGCTTTTTCGGACTCAGACTTGAGTTAGAAGAAGAACGGAGCACTTTTGGGTTACTATTCGTGTGCCATGGCGTTGCTCCGTTGTACAAAACCTCAAAACCTCAGACCCTTTTTTGTCTTCGACACACTAACGTGTGTAGTGTCAGTGACGAGAAGTAAAAAAGCATATTGGGTATATAGGGCTAGTTTTATATTTTATAGACCAAATGACACTTTGTGGGTTCTGTGGTTAGCATCATGCCGGCCCCCTTTACTTCCCAGGACTGTACCTGGTACTCACTCAAGGCTGGGTTGACCTGAGAGCCAAGGTCATTTCTGAAGAAAAAACAAATCCGGCCTTCGTCAGGAACCGAACCCACAAACTGTCAATCCGCAGCCAACCGTCTAACCGCTTGACAAGAAGTTACATCTGGCGAATGTTGTATATCCATTAAGTACACGCTGCAAGTTTTTAAAGCAAATTCATGACGTTGAGTATAATTTGTGTGCGCATGCGCATAGTGTATTTCTGTGTCGGTGGGTGTCTCTACGTCTATAGGTAAGTTGCGTATCCTGTGCAGGACGTTGCAGAACCAACCCCAAAGCCCCTGGCTGTTGTGTCGTTTTTCTAGGCAAATTTACGTCCAGAAGTTGTACGTCTATTAGTTTTGCATAATTTTTTTGGTGAAGGCTGGCCACAGCAACGTTCTGTGTGATGGCTGTGTTTGTACACTTGACCACAAGCGCTTCTTGTTTTCCCAAAAGCAAAGCACAGTGAATGTATAGACATGCTGTCGTATAGTTTCGCCTTGTCACAACACACATAGCCAAACGTCCTGTGCATTCTTGATGATTCCCATCCGCCCTATTTGTAGATGATGAATTGATCGAAAAATACTGGGCGGGGGCAATGAATATACCCAGTGCCGCATGTACAAGCTTGCCCTAAAAGGCGACCAATTAAAGAATCTGCTGAAATCGGATGTGTTGGGCCGAACGACACAAATGTCGCAGCCCACCTGTTAATAACAACACAACCTGTGAACCGTCACTTTAAGGGTGTACGAGTAAGAAAAAAACTTACCTGAGACAAAGATCCAAAAACTAATATGATTCCTTCAAGAAGAAGATACCGACCCGCCTTGTTGTTGGAATCAACCGTAATATCGGTGATGATTGCTGTCACTGCCAGGACAACAACGTAGTAGGATCCAACAATTCCATCAACCGCTGACCCAACATACACTAACGCAACATTTAGTTGGTATTTGATGATTAAACTTAGTAAAACAGTCTTGATTAAGATCCCCAATAAGGAGACGATCAGCAAAGGTTTTCTGCCAACAAAATCTGAGATAGAACCGGCAAAGAGACAAATAAAAAAGGCGGGAATGTTTGAAGCGAGGCTTGAGTAGAGCATTGTACTGGACGCTTTTTTCTGAGCCATGTTCATGAAGGCATCCTCGCTGTCTGTAGAATTACTACATGTGCCTCTACTTCTGGAGGAATTTGTTGTCGAATTGTTGTGTTCCTGAGAAAAATAAAGAACTAAATATTGAGAAGTCAGTGGTCCTAGCGTCATCATTCCAACAATATAGATAGCAATGGTCAACGTGGCGTAAATCCACACTTTGACAACAGAAAAAGGAAATGCAGGGGCACTTTTGAATGTGTGGTCAATAGACAAATCGCCGTTTTGAATCAGATGCGTGGCTTCATCGTTATCATTTGCGGCACATGGAAAACTTTCCAAGGAGACGTTTCTACCGATACCATATCTTCGTCGTGACTCGGTTTTAGTTTTTTCGTTTTCGTCATTGTTGAATTCACTATCATGAGAATTTGGTATTGCCCATTGATGTTGTGTTGGTGAAGGCAGATTATCTTGATGGTCGGATTGATTCATATTGACAGTTCTTGTAGGAATAGCGTAGCTAAGTGGTCTTCACCGACGAAGACTGTTATGCGAAATACATTAGGCTTCCTGTTGATACAAGAATAGGTTGAATACACAATAATGAATTATTATGTTTGAATTAACTGAGCGGTACGAGGCAATAATTAAAACACAGAACAGAAATAACTAAACACACTATTCCGTCCCAGTGTGAGACATAATTTGTTGTTATTTTAAAGCCTCACTCCGGTTGGACATAAGTTACTTTGTAACTTTACTGTTGAAAGGGGTTTCTAGGACTTGAGTCTGGTGGATTCTCATCCGAATGGTGGTATTTTGTATCACTGGGTGTTAATCTCTCTTTGTGCAGTCTTGATGGGGTTAAACGTTACCCACAGGAACTAAACAGATTACTGTAGGCAGTCTGATGTAATGAGTTATTATCTTCTTCTTCCTCTTCTTCTTCTTCTTCTTCTTCTTCTTCTTCTTCTTCTTCTTCTTCTTCTTCTTCTTCTTCTTCTTCTTCTTCTTCTTCTTCTTCTTCTTCTTCTTCTTCTTCTTCTTCTTCTATTCTTCTTCTTCTTCTTCTATTCTTCTTCTTCTTCTTCTTCTTCTTCTTCTTCTTCTTCTTCTTCTTCTTCTTCTTCTTCTTCTTCTTCTTCTTCTTCTTCTTCTTCTTCTTCTTCTTCTTCTTCTTCTTCTTCTTCTTCTTCTTCTTCTTCTTCTTTTTCTTCTTCTTCTTCTTCTATTCTTCTTTTTCTTCTTCTTCTTCTTCTTCTTCTTCTTCTTCTTCTTCTTCTTCTTCTTCTTCTTCTTCTTCTTCTTCTTCTTCTTCTTCTTCTTCTTCTTCTTCTTCTTCTTCTTCTTCTTCTTCTTCTTCTTCTTCTTCTTCTTCTTCTTCTTCTTCTTCTTCTTCTTCTTCTTCTTCTTCTTCTTCTCCTTTATTCACCGGATGTAAGTTCTGGCTGAAAGTCCTCTTTGTTCGTCCATTTGGACTTTAGCCTTGTGTCAGGGCCTGAGTTTTGCGTGTACTGGCTTTGTGTGCATTTGGTTGCTTCTTGCCACTCAGGAAGATGCACCCCGACTTTGAAGGAAGCTTCTAGTAATTCGACTCTTACGACAAGCTTCTTTGGAAGTCAATGTGTCTATTCTTGTTTTCCCCACAGTGAGGCATCAGAACCCACACGTGAAGTTATTATATTGAAAGTGAAAACGTAAATAGGAGTACTGCGGTTAAACTGATATCAAGAGGTACTAAATACAACATGAACAGTAATGAAAAACCTCGATGGATGCAATACAAAAGACGTGCACAAGTACAACCGAACGTCTCAGCTAGTCTTTATTAACTGAGTACAAAATACAACATAAGCTCTGTTGTCTTGTTCGTTAAGTTTGTTAGTCACATACAGGGATGCATTAAGTATTCCGTTAATAAAGACTTCGGTAGAAACTGTCGGTTATTTTTGTGTGTATCCTCTCCGTTCTCTGTTGAGCTGTTTAGTCACAGATGTGTTAATCTCTCTTAATATATAAAAACCCTTGATAGAAGCGAGAATTACAGTGGTAGCTTGGAAATCGAACATAACCCGTTCCGAAATGAGTTCGAATTCCGAATCGTTCGAATTCCAAGGCAATTTTTCACACTGAAAATAAAAGAAATAAATTAATCCATTCCAGGGTCCAGCAAACTCAAATTGCCAAAGGTATTGTCTTAAATACAGTTCACTGTTAGTTTAATACCACACGACATATTTTTATACAAACATGAACAAATAAAAATGATACAAAAGCAATGTGTTTACTATACCTTGTTTAAAAACGCTAATATGGTACATAGAAATGGGAAAGAAAAAGAGATTTTTGATATTTTTGTTTGGAAGGTTCATGCTCTGATATGTTCCCAGCTGTTCTTTGTAATTCGTAAATCTCTTTTATCAATGTTTAACTTTTCCAATAGTTTCTTTATTTCTTCATGTTTCACACAATCAAAAGCTTGCGTATAGTCCTGATGATGTTTACGGAAACAAAACATAATCTCTTAGTAATCCAATTATTAAAGCCATCTTATAGATTAACTTACAACCCACAAGACTTTCTTTTATTCCAGTGAGTTCGATTGTCATGTTTTATGTCACCTCCATTTAATTATTCGTCACATTAAATCTCTGTAAATTGTCCAAACATGTAAATTCCACGTGATACAGAAATGACTGTGAAAAGGCACACTTACCATAGGAGCGGCCATACTGGCAATTCTCTGAAATTAAAGGTTTAAATACAAATCGACGAGTTGGTTCAATGAATGCACGTTACGTACAGATCCCATGACCGTGTGTCGTCGATGTTGACACATATAGTTTCAAGAATATCCTCATGCGTCACCAGCCTTCACTCAACAGTGTAGAGATGAACATGCCGTGTTAACGTAATGAGTGATCAAAGTAGGACCAAGTTCGCATGAGGTCCATACTGGGTGAAGTGTATATGTTTGTTTTAGTATCCAGAAGCCATGAGTTGTTAACCCTTACGCTCGGTATTATGGATATCACAACCTTTCGGCCTTGATTCCATTGTAAATACCGTAAATCTGGGAGAAAATGTGGCTTACCTGCCTACCCCCGGGATTGAACCCGGACCACAAGGAGTACGTCACCCGGTCTCCACGAGATCCGGTTGTAGCCAATTCCGCTAGAGAGCCGGGCGTGAAGTGTATATACAAGGTCGGCGTCTGTGGCTTAGGCGTTGCTAACCCGCTTCGTAATGTCGGGGTGCCGGGTTCGATCCCAGCTGCAGACTTTGCTCCTTGCGGTTGGCTTCGACAATGGTATCGAGAGCCGAATGTCCAGAGATCGATGGCAAACTACTGGACGTAAATTTGACCAGAAAACCAGAACAGCCAAAAAATGCTGGGGTTGGTACTATAATGTTATGTAAAGAATACGCACTGAACTTTTGCATATACAACCTTTTTTAGGTGGCGCCCTCTTTGAGTATATGATAAAACCCAACATAACACAATGTGATTAAAAAGAGGAACTTAAAAATCTCAAGTACCGCTAACAAGCATTATGAGAAAAACATACAATTTAGAATATCAAATAACAAAAGAAACACTCACTTCTCAAAGTCCATGCCATGTGGTGCTGGTAGTTATGTTTTGTTCACAACCTTTTGTCTCATCTAATTTCAAAAAACTCTGACACAGATGATCCTTTATACCATGATGTGAAACTGTCCAGCATCTTTCCTCTCTGTCTCCCTCTGCTTCTCCTTCCCTTCACCTTTCATGTTGTCTCGTTGTACTTCAGTTTTCTCCTTCTCATAACGTGAGCAAAGAATGTAGGTTGTCTCTTTCTGATGTGGGCAATCAGTTTTCTTCGTGGGTCAGATTCTCTCAAGACATCTTCATTACACTTTTCATCTGTCCAAAGTATTCTCATCATTAGTCTATAAAACTACATCTTCGCAGCTTCAAAATAATTTTTCACTAATCTACCAACTGTCCATAATTCACTTCCGTATATCATGGTATGTTTTATATAGCTTTTAAGAATTCTCTTTCTTGTCTCAATTAACAAAGAAAGATTGCACAAAACAGTCACTAACAACTGGTAATAATATCACTGTGCTGGATTATCTTGATATCTATTTTTTTTTTAATTGGACAAAACACAAAGGAGATCACTCTGCTCGTCAAGCTGGTTGCACTGTTTTGTTTTCATGACTGTTATTTAGCGCTGAACATTGCGATTATTACAACTACAAATATACTTAATTTCAAAATTGCTTGACGCCCCCCTGAAACTTCCTCACCCCCCTGTACTAGACCCTCAGGTTGAAGACCACCGAACTAATTGATCTTTCATAAAGGACCACAGAACGCGAAGATCAGTGTTACGTTAGCCTGCGCCCTCGACATCAACAGAAGTAAAGAGTTAATTTGTGACTGCCACAGTCAGTTACAAAACTGCAAATTTACGTCCAGTAGTTTGCCATCGATCTTTGGACATTCGGCTCTCGATACGACTGTCGAAGCCAACCGCAAGGAGCAAAGTCTGCAGCTGGGATCGAATCCGGCACCCAGACATTACGAAGCGGGTTCGCAACGCCTAAGCCACAGACGCCGACAATGAACCCAGTATGAACATCGTGCGAACTTGATCCTACTGTGACACATCTTGTTCACATCTCCCGACTTTACCTTTGACCTTTTTGCATTTGCTGGACTGATAGGCAGGTATCACTATAAAGACGTTCATTCATTGATGAATGTCTATAGGTTTAACCCCTTCCTTCACTGATCAAACAAACGTATAACAGAATGTTGTTCTTCTTTGTTGCCCGTCAAAAGTGAGGCCGCCTTCTTTAAACTTTTATTATGACGTCAGCGTGTTCGTCTACACGGTGGTGTCGAGTGCATAACACTCTTGACATCCCTAACAACAGATTGCAAGACAATGACACAGTTAGTGTAATTTCTATCACACTTTTAAGGGTTTCCTCTGAAGTTTCTCGCATTCCTCGTATTCTTGGAGACGGAGCCTTTTTGGGGGTTTGTCAAGAAGTTAGAGCATTCAGGAGTGGATTCTATTAATTTTCCCACCATCGTTGAATGTTGAAGTAAGATTCGACATCATAACACTCGGGACACCCCCATAAGCACTCCGTTCCAATTCTGATGGCACCAGTAATTGTTGATTGTGTATACGTCTTGCCCTTCCCTTGAGTGTTGAGCATCGGCAAGATTCCCTGGTAACTCCTCGCAGCGCCAGTCTCCTCAGACCGTAAGATCTATTTGCGCTTCCGCACTGTTTACTCGCTCCCAGAGGGCTCTCACAACGTCTAGGTTGTCATACATCAGTTCACCCCCAAGTGGTCAAAAACCGGCCAGTATGTCTGCCTGCTCTTTTCCCAACAAACCGGAATAATCTGGAGAGAATATCCAAAGGATGCTAACTACCGTGACCTCTGAAGTGATGCTTGCCACTATGCACGGAGCATACCTG